ACTCCAGGCTGGCAAATTCCTGGGGATTTGAGGGGTGGAGCCTGGAAAGGGTGGGGTTTGCAGAGGGGTGGGACCTCAGACAGGTAGAATGCCATAGACTCCACCCTCCAGACCAGCCATTTTGTCCTGGGTAACAATTGCTGCCAATCTCCAGGTGAGGGCTAGAGATCACTCAAAATTACAACTGATCTTATTCCTAATATGGTATAAGTTTGCTACAAGCATACAGAAATAAACAGCAAGGTCATAGGAGAAACATTACCTGAACAGTTTATTTGGGGAGGGATACCGTTTTTTTTACAGTAACAAGCGGGAACCAAAACAGCCCTGAAAAGGGTGCTACCCCCACCCCCTGCCTGTTACAGATAAAAACCAAGCCTAGAATTCTAGGTTTTTAATATTGTGTAGATAGTGTTTTAATTGTTTTATCTTATTGTGTATTTACTTGTAAATCACCCTGAGCCCTGCTGTGCAGGAAAGGGTGGGATATATATAATTGAAAACCTGTAGAAAGACAGATCTGTAGAAAGATCTGTCTTCTCCGTTCATGACTCCAATCACAGGATTTAAGTATCGGCAGATGAGTGAATAGTGGGCTGTTAGATATGTAGATGATATTAAAAGAATTCAAGCCAAGATGGGGGATAGAGTGTTGCAAAAGAGAACATCAGAATAATAGGCATGACACCTGATGGAACAGAGACAAGCAGTGGACTGAACAGCTATTCCTGAATAGAAATACTATAGGAAGGATATATTGAAAGCAGAGTTGTTCTATAAGACAGGGCACAGGGTCCAATAAACTAGAAAATGTAAGACGAATAACCACCTCCACTATATCACTTCAGCTAGAAATAGAGCCTCCCCCCCAAATAATATTGTTTTCTTGACCAAAACTTTGAATGTAGTCTTAAGATAGAGAAAGAAAACAGAGAGTCTGGCACAGTAGAACTAGTAATAATGTGTGACTTCAGCACTGAGCTTCAACACTGATTTCACCTTGTCCATATTCTGACACAAATTTCCAGATATGATCAATTGACTCTGCCTTAATTCTGAGTCTAAGAGATCTGTATGCTATTAAATTATTAAGAAGCCAAAAAAAGGGGCGGGTAAGCCAGTGTACAATGCAAGAACCAAAAAAAAGAGAACACCACTTGGCAAAAAATAACTTACAAGCAAATAAGCAAGTGTATAATGATCAAATAAGCATAACAGCAAGTATAATGTAAATCAAATAAGCATAACAACAAGTATGATATAAATCAATAGGCCAAAGTGCAATGATAAATCAGTCACAGTCTTCTCCAGCATAGAGGCAATATCAAAGTCCAAATTGGAGTGCCAATCATCAAATTTTCTGAGCCATCAAAAGCCGACGCGTAATCTGGATGCCTGAAGCCGCGTTTCGAATTATTCTTATTCAAGTATGGCTGTAATGGGACCCAGTCTCAAAAGCTGGCATATGCTAAGCCAGAATGGTCAATCAAGGAGGATTAAGCATACTTGTTGTTATGCTTATTTGATTTACATTATACTTGCCGTTATGCTTATTTGATCATTAAATTATTAAGAGCAGTGGCCAATTTATCTTTTAAGTGGAAAGGTGCCCCAAAATTCAAATATAGCCACACTTGATTAAGAAAGAATCTGACTAGCATATTACTAAAATGTTAAGACAATCAATAAAGGTTTATTTAAATACATTAAAATCAGGAAATCAGCAAGAATGATACCTTTAGACAGCAGAGGTGTGAAAGGATAAGTAAAGGAAGATAGGAAGATTGGAAAGAGTCATCACCGAGGAGGATGTTGGACAGACACAAATACCTGAGCTATATTTCTTTGGAAAGGGCACATGAAGAACAAAGTCTTATAAAGGTACCAAGAGATGAAATTCTAGAGCTAATTGACAGATTAAAAAATAAGCAATTTGCAGGATCCAAGTGGCATACCCACCTACCATCCAATCACCAAGTGGAATGTGGAATTTTTTCTTTCCTACAAAAAAGTGTAATTTGAACAAAGCTAGTATGATTGAATTGTGATGTTGTTGAGATAAAAAAAAATCACTCACCGGTGAGACTTCACATTCACATAGTGATGTCTCCACACAGGGACAGGCTTCTTTGGTTTCCTTATTGTTGCTCTGGTTGCTGATATAGTTCAACAGCAACAGAGCAGATTTCCCTTCAGGCAGAGTCCACCCGCCCCTTGCAACACTGGGGATTCTTCAGTTTTTTGTTTGTTTATTTAATCAGCAGTTAAATATTGTTCTGTTATTATAACAATAATTCTCTGAATTCCCAGGTGTCATTGAAAAAGGAAATCTCTAGATCCTTTTGTTGCAGATATAAGTGGAAAAGCATATTTCTGGAGAGTTACTTTTTTAAATAAATGAAAACTGGGGATTCAGAAGACCTGATTTCACATATTATTACAATATCATGATGATATTTAGTTTCTGATTAAAAAAACAAAAAGTCACAGGGAGATGGCTGCCTTATAGTCAGGACTGGGAAAATCCAATTTTTCTACCCACATGGCATCCATGCAGGCTGTCACATGTCCTCTCCCAAAACTTTTCACCAAAGCAGGTTTGAGATAGGCTGGGGAAAAAGCCAAGGGAAACCTAGAAGTTACACTAATTCACCAGAATGCTACATCATCAAACCCTTGGTATATAACCCATGTGGAAAAGGTCAGCATCTTGTCTAAACTGGGCTACTACCAACTACATAGCTGCCTTGTATGCATAGCTGTCTAGTTTAAACAATATGTTGTATGAATACAAAATCCTGTAAGGAGCACTTTTGCATAACCTACATAACCTACATAACTGAAGTCATGGCTAAAATCAGACTCCTTGCCAGACAACTGAAAGGAAGCAAATGTAATACCATTTTGTTTTTTAAGGCTCAAGAGAACAGAAAATTACATGTCTGTTAGTCTAACATCTATCCCAGATGAATTGATTAATAATGTATTATAAAGATTATTATTAGGATTTTCTTTTGCAAATTGAAGTCCTGTATCAACAACTTCATGGAGTTCATTGATTGTTAACAACAATGCAGTTGGGGTGATTAGGTATTCATTATATACTTGAACTTTCAAAAAAGATTTTTATAAAGTCCGTCACCTAGGACACCTGGCTTGTGTATCCAACAAGATCCATCTACAAAAACAGACCAGTACTTTTCTGTTTCCCATTGCCATTGCAATCCACTGAGCCTCCCCAAATTTTGTGCCTGAGGTCAGCAGCTCCACTGGACCGCATAGGGGGACAAAATGGGAATCTACAGCAGGAAGGGAATTGGTGGGAAATGCCACTCCTTGTTCCGAAGAGAGAAGTGTTCTTACGTCTTCAAAATTGTGCAGCTGATTACAAGCCCCTGAATAATTTTAGCAGACATTGTATGAAGTTCCTCATATGAATTAATAATTGGTTTAAAGCCAGTAAATAGAGGGGGTGGAGAAAATGAAAAGCTATTGCAGTGGAGGAAAGAAAGCTGTGGGTTCCCCGGGAAGGATCTGTAGTCAGACAGTAAGCAGTAAAATAGCCATATTTCTGCAAGACCCCACATTTTTCAGGATGATGAAAAGAGTTCCCAAAGGATCTTCGAGCTGGGTAAATGGGCAGCAAAATGGCATGATACTCAATATTATTGTGTAGCTTTATTGTGTAGCTTATGTAGCTTTAAAGAAGGAATTATACAAATTTGTGAAGATAAATGGTCATTTCACTGTTATATCTAACAGAAAAGTAACTTGTCTCATTCTAATTACAAAAGCAACAAAACCAGGTCAACTGCATACAGGGGGGCATACATACTTGGGGAACATACACCAAGTGTACAAAAGTATCTTTGAAAATTAACTGAAAGAAAAAGAGCCTGATGAGAACTCAGATATACTGAAGAATGTCTACAAATTAAAATAAGATGATGTCCCTGGCACTTGGGGATTAATTATGAAATGTTGAGGTTGAGAGAGCCATTGTGGTCCAGAATGCTAGACTAGGACTGAGCAGACCGGGGGTCAAAACCTTACTCTGTCAAGAAACTCAATTGAGTGCCCATGGGACCAATCACCTCCCTTACCCAACCTATTCCACAGTATTGTTCTAACGACTGAATGAGGGAAGGAAGAGCCACATACACTGCTCTGAACTCTAGGAGGAAAGAAATAATAAAAATGTAATAGGTGGAAGCTCCAGCCCTTTAAAGTTCATTGAAGGAGAGATTTGGATCAGAGGAGAATTCCCCAGTTATTTACCTCTCCATCCCAGGAATTCTTTGTGGACACTAATGTGTCATTATTTTAATACATGATTTGTTTTACTGGGGTAAATCCTATCTTCTCGTTATGATGTTTAAAGCCTTCTTTCAGCTTAAGGAGTGTTCTTCCAACTCAAATAAATGGGAGGAAGGCCTCCTAAGGCGGAGGAATGCTCCTTGGATGGTGGTTGAATCCACGCCACTGAATAGCTTTATTGTATTGATTGGTTTTGTTTTATCATTTTGTGTCACCTCAAGCCAGTTGGGAGAGGCAGCGTACAACTTTCCTAAATAAATATGTTACGGTCTCCCTTATGTTCTTAGATTCATATTCACAAAATTGTTTATACTCAAATACATAGAAGCATTCTCTTTTTCAATTCAATTTTCATTTAATTTTTATTCATTGTAGGCCAACCTTTCTCTCCAATGAGAGCCCACAGCAGCTTGCATTGTTCTCCTCTCCTCCATTTTATCTTCATAACAACCCTGTGATATGGGTTAGGCTGAGAGAGCGTGACTGGCCCAAGATCACTCAGCAAGCTTCCATGGCATATCTGGGGATTCAAACCCAAATCTCCCAGATACTAGTCTGACAGTCTTAACCGCTACACCACACTGGCTCTCAATATCATCCTGACATGCATGAAGTGATTTGATATTAGATATCAGTTTTCCATTTATTCCTTTCTTACTTATTAACAATTTATTTTTTATTAGATCCTATACGATGATGGGAAAATGGCAGTTGAGGTGGATGGCCGAGCCACTCAGAAACTGATCACCAACCTGAAGCCTGAAACATCGTATTCATTTGTCCTAACCAACAGAGGGAATAGCGCTGGAGGTCTTCAGCACAGGGTGACAGCAAAGACAGCACCAGATGTACTGCGAACCCAACCACTCTTTATCGATAAGACCAATGTTGATGGCATGGTAACCGTGAAACTACCAGAAGTACCTGCTAATAAAACTATAAAGTGAGTCACAAGTTATAAGTCATGAATATTTTCAGTATTTTGAGAACGGAGCCTTGTAACTTCTTAGAGACAAACTGTTTTATGTTTCAGGCATTAGGTTTTGTAGACTGTATTAAATGCACAAACTGTAACTAATGGGCAACAATTTGAAAGCAGTTACCAGAATGATTACAGTTAAGACCCTTCAGCTCCTCACATGTAAGGGATAATCTTATGTATTGCATACTTATAGGACTGCTGTCACCTGGGTGATGGTAAAGCTAAGAAGATTAGCTGCAACTCACCAGTTCTGTAACAATGTTTCTAGTTTTAATGAAAGGACATATTTCAGTCTTGGGGTCATCATTTCTTCAGTTGCCCTAATGTTGTTGGTTTCTTGCCAACGGATATGTTGCATTCAGGGCTAAACCTGGCACTGTTGCTCTACCTGGGGTTTCCAGAGTACACAAATACAATGGCAACAAATACAGCCAGATATAGGAGCAAGGTCTGCAAATCAGTCCAGAGTCAGATATCCAAAGGTCCAGTACAAGGGTCATAGTAAGGAGAGTTGAGTGTCCAGGGGTCCATTTCCAAGGCTTGGAAACAGGTGCAGGATGCATAGGCTGGGTCCCAGGGTTCAGGAGCAAGCACAGGTTATCAGAGAAAAGGTACAAGGCAGAAGGAGCTCTGTGGAGCTCTGTTTCCTAAGCAGCTCAGCACACAAAGGAGTGAGCAAGGTTGCTTCCATGCTTAGCCTTGCTCAGCATGTTCATCATCATTGCTTCTGTGTAGGCAAACATGGGGGGGGGGGTTGCATGATTGCAGGACAGCTGTGGAGAAGAGCTTCCAAGCTTTTCTGAAGAAGCTTCTAGGCTCTGGAGTGCTCCCCCTCATCTCTGTCTGTAGAGGTCCCTTTTCCCACCCAAAGTGAACAGAGGTGGGACAAGCACTCCTTCCCTCAGTTCTCTTCTTGCCACTGTGAGGAGAGGATGTGTTTCTAAGCGGCTGTTTTGTGGGGCTTCAGGAATAAAAAAACCAAGGTTTCCATGGAGAACAGTGAAGATTTTTAAACCTACAAATTGGTAGGATGGCTTTTTTCAAGAAGTGTGGGGAGTGCAGAGCAAATATGGCCCAAAATGATGAAAATTCCTCGTGGTTAATTTTATAGTGGTCATGAGCTACTACCAAATGTTACTATGAGAAAAGATGTTACAGTTTCTCGAGTTGCTACCAGTTGATAAGCTGAGGCCCTGCCACACGTGCCAAAAAATGTGTGGGGGGGGAGGCGTGGCTATTTGTGCCGTCGCATTCTGATCCGCCATTATGTGATCAGATGCGATGGCGGAGCACCAGGGTTTCGTCCTTTGGCGCGTGCTGCAAAGAAGACAGTCGGAGGGAATAGGTGCGCGCCAGTGAGATCACACCGAACGAGTCCATCTTCAGCCCATGGCAAACCATTTGCTAGTAGATCTTTGCAGGTATTTTTTAACTGCGCTTCTTTGGCGGCACGTCACGGGTTGGCCACGGGTGCACTACGCTTGCCAGATGTTGCGGTGTGATCGCGCCCCGAAAATCCGCCCAGCATTCGTGCCTTTTGCACAAATTCTCTGTGTGACCAGGACCAGAGTATAGCTAAGGTCCTCATTGCAGAAGGACAAAAATTAGGGAAACAACAGCTCAGTGCTGCAAGGCATGGGACAGATAGTAACAGTAAGCAAATGGCCTCTGGCATTGTCATATGGAGATATTCATGGTTACGCTTCTCAGCCCTTCCGGTTGATATGAGAGCCAAAATAGAGGATCTTCTATTTGAATGTGGAGACCTATTCAGTGATCAAACCAATGCAGTTTTGGATTGGATTAGGAAAAACAAGTTGACAGCCAAATCCTTGAGCATAACGCATACTTCATTGACACCTTTTAAAGAAAGATATTTCCCAAGGCATATCCAGAGGTATCCCCAATCAAGATTCTATTGTGCACAGATCTACAGGTACCAGACCCCTCCACCCCTCCGTCGGGGCTTCAGGCCTCCTTATACCGAACAATCCCAGACCAAAAGACATAGCAGACAATGGGGGAAAAAACCCTCCCAATCTCCTAGGGACCAGCACTCTAGAAGTGCCCCATCTTCATGACTAGATTTGGACCAGGTTTTTTTTGATAGGTTAACCAAGTTCTTTTATAAGTGGTGCCAAGTTACTGTTGATGATCGGATCTTATCCATAATAAATAGAGGGTTTCCCCCCCCTTTGGATTTCAAATCACAGCCTCTGCAGGAGGTCTCCTCTGTATTAGCTAAGGGAGCAATTACAATGCTCACCTCTGAGGAACAATCAAAGGGCTTCTTTTCTAGTATTTTGCCATTGACAAAAAAGGCAGAGGCAACAGGCCCATTTTAGACTTAAGGTCTTTGAATAAATATTTGAATGTCCCAAAATTCAGAATGTTATCCATGCAGGAGGTGATGCCCTTTATGACACCCAACATCTGATTTGCCACACTAGATTTAAAGGATGCATACTTCCATATTTTGATACACAAGGACAATAGAAAGTACTTGAGATTCAACTATTCAGGGCTCACCTATGAGATGCAGTGTTTCCCTGTGGGCTCGCAATGGCACCTAGAGTATTTACCATGTGTGTTACAGAGGTTATAGTTCCTTTGAAGTTATAAGGCTGTATGGTGTACCCTTATATGTATGACTGGCTCTTTGTTGATGACTCCCTGGAAAGGCTGGTCAAGAGTCTGTGCTTCACCCTGCACACTATTCAATCATTATTTGTTGTTTGTTTGGTAAACTGGGAGAAATCTCACCTCATTCCCCTTCAATCCATCGACTTCATTGGGGCCTCTTTAGAGTCCAAAAAAGGGAAAGCATATTTGCCCCTCCCTAGGACCAAGATTATGTTGGCCCTTGTTAAGAAACTTCTGTCCAACAGATACAAGTAAACCAAACACATACAAAGATTTCTAGGCTATATGGCTTCCACCACTGCAGTAGTCCCATACACTTGCTTACACATGTCATTGGAAAATTAGTTTCTAAGGAACTTCAACAGCAGTTCTGAACCTTAATGGAGGAAACTATTTGTCCCTAAAGTCATTGTAAGGTCTCTCCTTTGGTGGTCCAGACCAGAGAACCTCCTCAAGGGAATCCCAACACTTCACTCACAGGTTGGGATAATCACTGTCAAGGTCTAAAGGTGAAAGAGACATGGACTAAGACAGAATCCATCTTTACACACTTCACATTAACCTATTAGAGTTGAGAGTCATCAAACTTGCTCACGCTTCTTTTACAGAAATCATTTTGGTAGCAACAGACACCATCACAGCAAAAACAGTTACAAGGGACTGCAGACAGCTAATGACAGTTGAGGAAATTGGGAGTGGCCAACAAGCACCTGTGAGATTCAGTAATGCTGCTGACCCAGCCTCTCTGATGGCTTCCAACACACTCCCCCCCACCTCCTACACCTAATAGGCAGTTGTCTCTCAGGTGCAGCCCCACGTCCACAGTGGCTTCTAATACTCCTCCCCCCTCCCCCTCCTACACTGGACAGGCATCTGCCTGTCAGGTGTAGGAGAGGAGGTGAGGTGGCTTCCAACACCCCCCACCTCCTACACCTAACAGGCATTTGTCTGTCAGGTGCAGCCCCACCTCCACAATGGCTTCTAATACTCCTCCCCCCTCCCCCTCCTACACAAGACAGGCAGCTGCCTGTCACATGTAGGAGAGGAGGTGGGATGGCTTCCAACACATTCCCCCCACCTCCTACACCTAACAGGCGGTTGGTTGTCTGTCAGGTGCAGCCCCACCTCCACAGTGGCTTCTAATGCTCCTCCTCCTGCCCCCTCCTAAATTGGACAGGCAGCTGCCTGTCAGGTGTAGGAGAGGAGGTGGGATGCTTACAGCCACCGGGGAGGTTTTTTCAGCA